ATTGACAAATACTAGATTATGTTTTATTATGAACTTTTAGCATTAAAAACCAAAGTTTCAATTATTAAAAGTGTGTGCGTCAACTTTTTGTGACAAAGGTCAGAAACTCCTGTAATGACGTTGATTTTTTGAGGCGCACTCTTGTCATAAATTCATATATTACTGTTCATACATAATTTGTAAGAAAAAACCAGCGCTAAAATATCTATTAAGGAGTCTTAAACCTTTCTAGTTTGAAAGTTTGTCATGACTACATTAGGATTTAATAGTAATATAGTGAAGTAAATTTAGGTTGCCCGTATACGGGCAGGTGACAGTTAAGGTATATAGCTCTATATATATATTTATATATATATATCAAATCTTTTGGAATAAAAAACAAATGTGTCAAAATATAAAGTAGCCTGCACGTTTTAGCATCCATCGGTCATGTAAACTCATGTAAAAAAAAAAAAAGAAGAAAAAAAAAAGAACTACAAATGAAATAGAAATGAGCTTAGATTAAAAAGCATCAAAACATCTGAAAGTAGTAAAAATATACATATATCTCACAATCAGTTTTCAACTTCTGGTTGAAACAATGATTAGACTAGATAAGATTTAAAGGAGAAATAGTAAATGAATCGGCCCTAACACACACACACACACACACACACACACACACACACATATATATATATGAAAATCCTATTACTATTGGAATTTGGTCATATTCCAATTATGTACCTCTATTAAAGTCACCATGAAATCAAAGTTGACAAATCTTTTTTTTTTTTTTATGGAATATGGCAGTATTTATTATAAATTATTATTATTATTTTTTTTTTTAAAATGTATGTGTCCTTGTAATCTTTATTCAAAATAACTTCCCCTCCCTCTTGCAGCGTCATCTCTTCTCTGATGACGAGGGCGGGAAAACTGTCATCACATGAGATCCAACAATAGCAAACCACAACCATCCAATCAATTCCCCACGGACGAAATCAAGCCCCGCCCTACATTTGTTCATGTTCCAGAAGCCGTTTCACTCGGATTTACATCACAATCGTGAAGAAAAGATGATCACGACATCCATTTAATGCCGACATCAAATACACTAAAGACTAAACCATGTTCTGGTTTTTAGGAATCCAAATAAGACAACAGGAATTAACTGGAATTCTCTTTCATGTAAAAACCTTATTTGTATTAGTCCTTAGTAATGAAATATTAATTTATATAAACTCATGTCCAAACACAACTGAACAGACAAAAAGTTCAAGAAATACTGTTTCATTCAATACAATACTGTGCAGAATTGCTAACATGCTGCATATTACTGTATATGGCTTAACGAAAATGTGCATGTAGGAACAAACAAGGTCAATGTGTAGCTTTAGTTTGTGTACTCACTATGGGAGAGGACTACATTTCTGCTCTACTGTTCCGGGAGCACCTCTAGGGTCGTCCCGTGATATTTTACTAACAATCCATGAGTCATGCAGCAACTAGTGACCTAAAACACACCGTCAAAACCTCTTTCCTGAAATTACACAAACATTAAAAGATACATATATAGCCATCCGCTATCATACTCATAGAGGCCATACAATACTGTTGAAAAGTATGGGGTCAGATAGATTTAAATTTATTTATTATTTTTATTCAGCAAGAACGCATCATATCGGTCAAAAGTGAGAGTAAAGATATTTATAATAATAAAAAAATCTGTTCTTCTATTGAACTTTATATTTCTATTCAGTTCCCACACAAATACAAAGCAGCACAGCCATTTCAACATTAGTAAGAAATGTTTCTTGAGCAGCAAATCATCATATTAGAGTGATTTCTGAAGGATCACGTGACACTGAAGACTGGAGTAATGATGCTGAAAATACAGCTTTGATCACAGGAATAAATTATGTTTTACAATATTTTTAAATAGAAAACAGTTATTTTAAATTGTAAAAATATTTCACAATATTACTGATTTTACTGTATTTTTACTCGAAAAAACTCAGTCTTGGTGAGCAAAAGAGTCTTTTTTCAATAACATTCAAAAAACACATCAACCGCAAACTTTTGAACAGTCCACCTAAATAAAACCTCTCTATATAGACAGACATGTTCACGTCTGTGGGATGGGTGCCAAATTAAGGTGGTCCAATTTAATTTGAGAGTTTTGGGTGGATCAAGAAAGACCTGTCATGACTGACAGAGATGCATTTAGAGAAACAGAAGACCCAGCATGAGAGGATGAGCAAATGTACAAGTGAGTAAAAACAAGCCTAGACAGCTCGAGATT